TTTCCTGTATTTTTCCTGCTGTCTTTTACGTGACTTGAAAGTCCCTCTTTAGAAAACTCACTGTCCCGAAGTTGTGCCCTGCCAATGAGGGCACCGAGATCTTTTGCAGCTTTTTTGGCACGACCCGAATGGTGCAAGAACTCGGAGTGCGTTGTTACAATTCTACCTGTCTTACACCCCCTGGTGTTTCAAGTGGATTCAGAGCTGGAGCTGATCCTGCTGTATATACTCCCGTTTGGGTGTCAAAACCAATCAGAGTGAGGCTTGAGGTGGATGAATTTCAACTCCTCGAAACATGCAAGGAGCATGCATCATTCTACCGATCGCTTCAGTGCATAAAACACATTAGATAAAGGGAACCAGGCCGACCACGCACACACACCAAACAGAATTAGAGTAAACCCTATTTATAAGCTTCGCAAGTACTTACGGTTGTTTTTCTCAGGATAGTAGAAGGGCCGCAAGTTTTAATGTACCGTAAAACAATGTTACCAAACCATGCGATCCACGTAAACGGCATAGATTGTGCACTTGATACTTCTCGCTCAAATCCGAATGGCCAGTATTGTAGGACTTCTGAATAGCCTAAATTCATTTATTAGTTATTAATTTTACTCATTTAGTTGATTTGCATCTGTGATGTAGAAACAGCGCATGCGCTCGCGACTACCACATACACGTACGTACTGTTCCGACAGAGATGCAAATTCCTATATTTTTTTTCTATTTGATCCTTCTGGTTCCAAAAGCTAGTCCTCCGATCACGACACAACTGGGACGACAGGTGACCGCATAGGTACACGACTCTGTATTATTCCAACGTTCACCGGTTCTTTTTTCTAAGCTTCATGGCTCGTGTCACCAGTTTCTATAACCGAACCGTAGGTTCTCCCGACTACTAGCCCTGTCCATAATATTTCTCCCTCTCTCCGTATCTGGGTGCGATCCGGAGATTGATCACCCCCAAATGTGTTCCATCCTATCTCACCCTTTTTGTTTTACTGGAGCGATCCCGCTTTTCATGCCCGACACCAAATGCTACCAGCAGGGGACTATAGTCAAGAAAACCCACAGTTCAAACTCTGCGTGTCTACACAAACGCTGAACAAACGATGGCCGTTTATTTTCAACAGATTTGAATATCGGCGAAACATTATGAAACGTTTGCGATCTAAACGCCAAGCTCAGCGAACACAATACCCCACAGATGGCCGTTTATGTTTGCGTTATCTCCAGCTAATTCTGTGCACTCGGAAACGGGCAACGCAACACTTGTGACTCCTTTCGTTTCAATCACTATGAAAGCTTTTGGCCCAGACACGAATTAACCACATAGATCAATACACATTCCTCATCCGAAAGTTTAGTCAACATCTCCCTTTCTTGTTTGATCGAATCCAGTCGACATCTTCCATTCAATGCCAAATACAACAAACGATAAAAATCGTCAACAAATTCCCATCTTTTAAACTCGGCATGTGTATACCAAAGTGGAACAAAAGGCTTTATTTATGCTTACACTATCCAAACCAATTCTATACGTAGCCATTTCTGTTTTAAAAATTTGGCCGTTTTTCGACCTAGACACGGATTACGTAATGAGATCGGTACTTATTCATTACCGCCAGTTCGGAGCGTTCGACCAACCAACCAATCGTCATCACCATCATCATCATCGACATCATCAACGTGTAACTGAAAACGTTTTGGTTTCATTTTCATTCGTAAAGTCATTTTCGAAAAATGTTCTCACTCACGGGAGAAATTTCCACCATAGATACCTTATGCTTGTTGAGCACACGATTAATTCCCTCTTCTTCCCTTGAGCTGCGTTTTCTTCTTTACAAGTGCTACCAATTTGGTCGGTGCTGGTTAGGTAATTCAGGTTGTCATCAACACCACCACCACCACCACCACCACCACCACCATCGACA